CAACCAAACCCCCCAACACCCATTGGAAATGGGGGAACCAAAAAACAAACAAACCCTCCAAGACCCAGCACAGCACAGAAACATAACCCCCACTCTTGCAGTGTTTCACGCTGCAAAAACACCCAGAACAGTTTTTAAAAAGCAGAAAACAGCACCATACCTTATCAGGCAGCCTTCTCCGATCACACACTCCCTAACTCAGTGGTGGCAAACCTTTTTGGGCTTGCGTGCCCGAACTGGGGGGGGAAGGACAAAACCAATGAGCAGCGGGCTGCGATAGCAGCAGAAAGTGGCAGCTGCGGAACCAGAAATGGCAGCAGAAGGGGGAATCCTGGCACGGAGGTGCCTCGGGACCCCACTCCAGATCCACTGCCAGTGCCAGCTGCTCCATATTCATCTGCTGAAGTGCCAGCACTGTGGCTGCAGCTGCCTTCTCAGGTTTGGCTGCACAGAAGGGGGGAGTAGCTGTCTGGCAACTTATCGCTGGCATGCTGGCGGAAAGGGTTCCGCGTGCCAGCTGTAGCAAGCGTGCCATAGGTTTGCCATCGCTGTTCGAATTGCTGGGGCGAAAGAGCTACAAAGAAGCAGCCTCGTCACCACCTACAGTTAGAAATCTGAATTGCCTGCCTTTTTCCCCTGCCTTTTTCTGTTCGTAACTGGAAGCTCCAGCCGCAAGTCGAAGCAAAATTTTGCCGCCGGAGCTGGTCATAACTCGAAATGGTCATAAGCAGGGACGTTTGTAAGTCAAGGCACCACTGTACTGTAAATAATACTGCAATACACCTTCCCATTGTGTAGAAGACAATGGCCATGAGACCCATGTGCTTGTCCAGGAGCTCGATGCAAAAGAGAAGCTTTAAGTCCCCTGCAGTCTCTTACCACTGTGTCTTTATCACTGTGATAATGTGCATATGAAATGCACTGAATAAAATTCAGATTAAAATGCTAGGTATTATCTTCCTCGTCACAAGTACTACCTAGACTCTTTACAGTGGTGTAGCTATGCATACAAACATAAAGTGTTAACTGAGCAATTAGAGTTATTGTCTGAGACCAACTTCCAAAATCACAGAGGTACTTTTCCACTGGTTTAAAACACCCAGAAAGGCTGACAGGAAACAATAAAAAGGCAGGAAGACAGGAGTACCTGAAGAGCACTGGGGCTTGCGTAGTTCATTAAGGCTGTGGAGAGCGCACTGGATAGCTCTTGTTACAGAGCATTTCCTCTTCATGGTTCTCCAAAGAATAGGAATGCTTTCAACGAATTTCTTACTTCTGATTTTGCAGTGCTAGCCAAACTCCAGTTTAAGGGCTGAGGGAAAAGGCTATGAAGTGCTGCCACCTCCTGTTATGTGTAAAACACATACAATAGAAGCACTACACAACTGGACAGTTAAAATTAGAACCCAAGTCCCCTTCCTAGTGCTTTAGCTACTTAAGAGACATTCTCACTCGGAGTTCCTCTTTCAATAGCTCAGTACCCATGCATGGATATTTGCAGACTGTGAATCCATCCTTGGAGAAAGATGAATTGGTATACATGTCTCTGGCAATTGTCAGAAAGAGCTACTAGTATAAACATCAGCAATATGGAAGAAAATAAAGTGTGATGAGTAAAAATCATTGTCCTTTTCAAAAATTTTAGGTTACTTATGTAAATAGCATCCCCTAACAATGCCTGGACTAAATGTCAAGGGGACCCTTTACCTTTAACAATGCCTTTCTTCAGCCACTCTGGACATGCATTTCACATTAAAATTTTTCAAAGTCATTCCCCTGGTTTCATATGGACATTGATATCAAGAATATGAGATAATGCCCCAAAAAGATCAAACCAAAAGCCTATCTAGGGACCAGTCACCAAACTGTGGAACAGTACTTGATGCCAATCTCTAACATTGATGTTCTTCTTGTTCTAGAATAAAATCTACAATACCATTGTTTCTGTGAGGGATTTTGAAGTTACGTCAAGGGTGAATCTTTCACCATGAATATGTCTTCATTTCATAAGCACAACCCCTATTTTCCATGGAAAAGTTTTCTAATACACTGCTGCATGATTCCAGATTGGTATAGTTCTGTGCATGGTGAATTGGTTCAATGCACAATCAACTAAAACATTTCCCAGCCTTCTGCCCTCCAGGTGTCTTGAAGCTCCCACCTCTCCCAGCCACCGAGCTGATGCTAGCTGGGAATGGTGAGAGTTGAAATCCAACATATCTTGATAGTATTTGATTCAAGGAAGGTGGATTAACTTCACACCGTGCTTCAGAAGACTGAAATTTTAGTTTTCCTAAGAATCTTAGTAAATTGGCAAGCAATTGCTTATTAAACACACTTACATGATCTAACTAAACCCATTATCAGCAATGAAATAGCACAATCACAGACATCAAGTTCAAGAATGCTACAAACAAATATCTTTACTCCCAGACAACACTAACTTTGGCATGCACCATGCATACTCAAATGCAATAGTTCTCATACGCATCACATACGCATCATGCCAATCACATATGTTAATTCAAAGCCCATTTAACACAGGCTGCTTCTTAGTTCAAATCGCACTCAGTACAAGGGGACTGAAGTGAAAAGAAAAGCTACCATACAGCTCTACAAAGGCATTTCTAATTATATATTTTACAGTTAACATATCGGCTAACGAATATCTATTCAGAAGTGAACCCCACAATGTCCCATAAGTAAACAACTGCAGCCAGTTTTCATGGTGTAGACCTGTGGCAGAATACGAGCATGGAGTCTTCAGGCCAAAGCTCACTTCACCTAGCAAAGGGGTTCCTCGTCAAATGAATATGTACACTATTTGGATAAGTAGACACTGGTGTATTTTACAGAACTGTTATTGTGATTACCAAGATAATACATATGAAATATTTTTTACCCAAAAGCACCATGTTGATGGCAAACACTGTTTCACACTCAAACATTTAATGGAGGATATTCTCCTCCCTCATATTCCCTAGAAGCAGAAACCCAGCTCTGCTTCAATTCTCATCATGATCTATTTTTTACTTCAGACATCTCAAGCACAGCAGGAGATCCACCCATCCCCAATTTCCTTCTCCGAGCTTGTCCGCATTCAGAGAATAGAAATAATTGGGGATTTCAAAAATATTTGTAGTACATCCACATACTAAACAAATACAAATTTGCCTATATAAACAGACTTTTGTTCACAGATAACTTCCAGAACAAATATTAGAGCTGTTTTAGTCACATGATGAGTGAAGCAAAAATATCTCCCCCTTTAACATGGAAGTGCCAGTCAAACCACTAACTCTAGACTATAAAAGAAGGCTAAGACAGACAGACTACAGAGAGCAGGTAAGGTAACATTATACTCCACAGTAAGGATAGCATCATGTAAACCAAGGAAAGGCAACCTCCAGCTCACAGGCCATTTCCCTGTCTCACCCCAATTGTTTTCTGTCATTATGTCCAATGAGTGATGAGAGATAACAGACTATTTAAAGCCCAGGGAAGCTGTTGCATGGAGCTTTTTCAGCCCAAGAAGTATTTTATGGAAATTAGTTCTGCTTTGCAGCCTAAGGTGTATTTTGCAACTTGCAAAATTCTTCAACTGGCACTTAAGCCTGAGTACACATGCTTCCATTTGTGCTATGGATACCAGAAACCTGTTCACTAAGGCTTATGTCTGAGCAGACATGAATAAAATTGAATGATGCTTGACATGCTTTGAGCTTATTTCTTATTCGACATGCAGAGAGGAGACATGCTTTCTATGCCTGGTGGGAAAATGTCTAGACTGGTAACAAGTATAAGTGGCAGTATTCTTAGGTCTTGCCTATGCTCTTAACCTCCAGTCATTGCTGAAATGCAGCACTCGGACCCTTTTCAAAATAAAATCTGGCTCTCAGACCAAAAAGATTTCCCACCTTGATGTAATACATTCTCCCAGTTGTATCTAGAGATCATAGAAAGGATATGATGAGTCTAACAGCAGCTGATAAAACTGTCTTCTTTCTCCAAGTATGTTTATATATATTAGCAGCCTCAGGTGTGCTTTGTCTGCAGCTTGAGAAATTCTTGAACTGGCACTTTATATATATGACACCATGCAAGACTATTTCTAGTTGTCACAGGAATCTTGAAGCAACACGATGTTCAACTATGTGATGTATCAGTTTATACTTAAGCTGCTAACCAACTAGTATAAGACTGCAAAGAAATGCAACACTGGCCAGAATCTTTTTCCTTATGCCAGACCATGTTAAGTCCATCAGGGTGAAACTCAATGGTGAAATGCTGCCACTTAAGATGTTTGGCCTTGTACTTCCTATTCCATACCAGTCACATGACTTGGCACACAACAGGAAATACCCAATTCTTAGCTAGTAGCAACCTGCCACTGAAATTTATACCAATGGGCTTAACACCAATATACCGTAGTTATTCTATTCAATTCTGGCCACTAATGCCCAAACAATATTGGAATGGTAGGTACTATGGAGCAGTAAAACTCTGCTGCTTTATTGCACCAGCTTTATTGTAATGCCCAAATACTTGCGGGGAAAGCCTGCTATGTGGCACAATACACTTGTAACTTCTGTACAAGTCTGTGGAAAAGAGGACAGTCCCAGAAAACCACTTCTAATCAAATACAGGAGCAAACAAAGGGACAATATTGTATACTTGTTTCCTTGTTACAGAGTAGCTAAAGGAATACATATTTCTAAGGAAGGATCTTTACTAGGAAATTGACCAGAATAACTAAGGATACTTATTTCAATACATCAAAATATTTCCTGTTAAAATTGAAAACTAAACCATTCGACAACATCAACAGGATATTCTATGGCAATGCAAAATATCTCAGAAATTTGAAAAAGAAAAGAAGGAAGACTCGTGTTTCACATGAGAAGGTAATAGTCATCAAATGAACTGCTTCAAATAAAATTGAACTCCCACATTTTCATCTAATCCAAATTATGAGTCACTCATACATGTGTTCACCTTACCTTGAAATAAAAAGGCTTTGCTGGCATTATGTAGTCCAGATACTTGTGTAACTCCAATAGTCATGTTGACGAGATCCAGTTCTGTGATAATATCAATTTGTAAGCCAGGGTCTGTGCCAAAGCCTACAACTGGTTTAAAAAAGAAGAGATAGAAAAGTCAGTTTTAATTTTTAAGTGAGCTATAATAGCTACAGAGTCTGTACAATCTCGTACAACACTTCTCCTACAAGTAACAAAATTGTTTTGACTCCATCAGATGATACAAATGCCCCATCCTTTCAGTTTTGGTTTGTTTTGAGGCTTCCTCTTCTCATTTTTAATTGTATTAGTCCGAACACAATCACGCACCATGATTAATGCCAAAAATATAACATGGTAAACAAGTGCTGAACAAGAATATTTCCACCTTGCAAGAAGAGAGGGAGGTCCACTTGCCCTGGTGTGGTCATTCCAGCTCTTTCCCTGCCTTTCAACACGCAGGACAGAATAGGGGCTGATAAGAAGCACGGCTGCCAAACTCAAGGAGAGAGCCTCTAGCTGCCAGCTCCTGGTCCCAGGGATTGCCAGGGTTCCAGGAGGAAGATTAGGAGTTAGCTGCTGTGGACCAAAGGAGTGAGTAGGAGTAACTGAGGGAGGAAGGTAGTGTGACTCCAAGGAGGGGACACTCTCCTCTTCCCTTTTTTTTTTTCTTGACACTGCTGAGAGGCAAAATACTGAGCCCGAAGTTGCAGCTCAGGCCAAAGGGAAGGGACAGATGGAAGGAGGTGCCAGGTGCCACGCGATGGCAGAAGGGGCAGCATCACCCCTCACCACCACCAACCTGTTTGCAGCTCCCTTCTTCATTATGGCCAGTCCCAGGTGTCTGTCAATCTCAGGGAAACATAAGCCAGGAACAAAAACTACCACTGCTCCAGCTTTGTTTTCTTTTTCTGCCAGTGGAAGGGAAACTCTCTGCATTCAGCTCTTCTCCACAGACTGCTCTACCTCCCAAGCCTCCCAAGCACCTTACAGCTACTGCCTGTATTATGTTGTTAGGTTTTTAATTATACTGTTTTATTTATTTATTTTGCTCTTATCTTTCTAGTTTTTGAAGTAAAGGGTAGCCGTGTGGTCCAAAACAAAATATTTTGTTTGGACCACATGGCTACCCATTTACTTCAATGGAATTGAGGATACATACCAAGAAATAGCTGCCACTCCCGTACCAAGAAGACACATGCACTCTCAACATCAGCAGAGCAGGACTGCAACCAAAAGGTAATATTCTGGCTTTAATTTGACCCCAATTGTGCAAAGCTACTGAGTTTACTAAATTACCATCCCAATTCTCATATGAAGGACTCAGGTGTTCTGAGTCATGCATATCCCTGCCAAGCAGAAATGTATCTGTTTTGATCAAAGGCTAAATTGAAAGATGTGGTGTGTGTGCATGCAGGGCCTGTGCTTCTTTGTTTGGAGAACTATGTTGTTACATTCATTCCATAGCTGCCTATGTTTTAACTGTAAAACAGCAACCAGACTCCTGACTTTCATCTAGTAGACAAGTCTAGTGAAACCCATCTTGCTAAGAACTGCTGGACTTAACATCTATGAGCAACTTTCCTGGCTAAATCCATCTTACTATGTATGTTCAGACTTACATAGTCCCTGGCTAAATCCATCTTGCCATGTATGTTCAGACTTTAAGTTTTGGACTTAAAGTTCTTCAGACTGCTACAGACCTGATGAAGTGGTGTTTTAATCCACAAAAGCTCATTTATTGTATGATGATTTTTTAGTGGTCTGTAAAGGTATCGCCTATTTTTGCATTTGGTTTCTATTTTTTGTTTATTACTTATTTTTTATTGCTATATAATTTGCATTAACTTCATTTGTTTGTTAACCACCCGGAATAGAGCTTTGCACTAATCCGGCAGTATGTATGTATGTATATGTGTGTGTGTGTGTGTGTGTATGAATGACGTACGTACGTACAGTGGTGCCTCACTTGACGACAATAATTCGTTCCGTTCAAATCGCTGTTAAGTGAAATCGTCGTCAAGCGAAAGTAAAAAAACCCACTGAAATGCATTAAAAACTGGTTAATGCGTTCCAATGGGAGAAATACCTCATCGTCCAGTGAAGAACCGCCATAGGGGAAGCCATTTTCAATCGCTGTCTTCCGGAAATAGGTCCGGAAAACAGCAGGCGGCCATGTTGAAAACCCGAGGATCAGCTGTAAAAATTGTTGTGAAGCGAATCGCTGTAAAGCGGATTTTCCCCATTGAAACATCATTTTGCGATCACTATAGCAATCGCAAAAACGTCATCATTAAGCAATTTCAGCATCAAACAGGATAATCGTCAAGCGGGGCACCACTGATGTATGTATGTATGTATGTATGTATGTATGTATGTATGTATGTATGTATGTATGTATGTATGTATGTATGTATGTATGTATGTATGTATGTATGTATGTAATATGCATACTTATGTATAAATAAATAAATAGTAAGTAAGTAAGTAAGTAAGTAAGTAAGTAAGTAAGTAAGTAAGTAAGTAAGTAAGTAAGTAAGTAAGTAAGTATTAAGAACTAGAAAGGTGGCCATCATGATGACAGACACAAATACTGGATAGAGAATTTCATGATATTTTGGACAAGTAATTACTATGTTTAATGACACTTTCTATTACTGAGATGTGAAAGTCTTAAACCATCCCACTAAGGCACTTTAGTCTGTATAATATTAGCCATATCTCTCATTTACTAGGATTCACTAGATAGTCTAAATTTTACAGATATTAAAAGCATGATGCCGTGCCTTTTCTAGCTGCAGCTTTCCCAAAAGACAAGAATGCACCACTGCACCAGAACAATTTCAAACAATCATTTGATGCTCCAGTACACGATGCACATTGCATGCTTTTTCCTGATAACATCCCAAATGGACCCTTGTATTTTTCCCACTTAGGAAATACCAAGCTCCCAGCATAGCAAACTGGCACGTTTTGTAAGATAGTAAATGCAAAAGTTGTCTTTTTCAACTCTGTGATATTTGCAGCTCTTCTAGTTAAGGTCCCACATCCTCTAGAGAACTGTGCATGGCAATAATTCTCATGCCCAGCACCAAGGTGGTCCTGTAACACATCTGCACCAACAAACCTGTTCTCTTGTACTTGCTCTAAGACGTAACTGTGCACAAACCGGAGAACTCCAACATACATATTTAACAAGGATTCAAGGCAAGAAAGACCTCATCCAAGCAGGCAGGCAACAGCACTGTCAAAGCTGACACCACTCATCTGTTCAGCAAATACAAAAGATTCTTAGATGTATCCACGTACGTGTGCATTTGCCACCAACTAATAGCTCTGGGTTATAGTCTCAGACTCTTGAAGACCTGTTCTTTGGTTTTCTAACCTTTAGTACTGGATCAGCTATTCCAAATGCTATAGGGCAGTGCAACTGTCTCTTTGGGGCAAGAAGAAGAAGATGGAAAGCAAGCCAAAACAAAGCAAACAGCTATCAACTGTCAGTCTGTCCTTGGATTGGCAGCAAGCTTTTCATTCCCTGCACAAGCAGCTGTGGTGATACTATCCCCAACTCAGCTCTTTTCACCTCTCACTTGGCTAAGGCAATAAGAACAGACATCAATGTCTGTTTCGGCACTTTCCTACAACACTCGAGATAAGCAAAGTAATGTACAGGAAAAGTGATACGCATAAGTTTTCCTGTATCAAACTACAATTTTCCTGCAAACCATAGGCAGCCCACAATTCCCTACACTGAAAATCATTTCAACAATTTTATTGGCTTAAAAAATTCTCGTTCCAATTTTTAGATAACGCTAGAACAATATAGATGAAACTCCATCATTCTTTTTCTCTTAAGAAAACAATGGGCTTTCAGGGGAGGGTGTTTAAAACCAAACTGTTCAAATGGTCTCCAGGACAAAAAGGCATATTGGTAAGACACAAAACTGATCTTGAGCCAAAAACCATAGGGAGGAAAAAGGGATCCACAACTTTTTCCAACCACACTATAACCCACTGCCCATCATTCAGACTTCTGTATGCTAGAGCCTCTCATCTCTCAGTCTTACTAGCCAAGAGACACCTGATAATCTATGAGTTGTGGGAAATTTCAGTTTTTTCCTCTTATCATTAGACTGCTGTTTAGAACATTTTCTGGAAAATGAAACCCAAGTACAGAGTAACTGTAGCACAACATTTATATAGTGCTCTAACACAGTGGTTCTTAACGTGGGCAATAATGCCCCCCAGGGGGCGATTTCATTTTTCAGGGGGGCGGTAGAACGAAAAGGGGCGGTGTCAAGTACAGAGCAACTGTAGCACAACATTTATATAGTGCTCTAACAGCTTCCATACACCAGAGATGGGGAAAGTTGCTTCTTGGCCTATAACTGCCAGAATCCCACAGTCAGCATAGCTACATCTGAGAATTCTAATCTACAAAAATTTATTGCCCGTCTTTGTTATGTAAATAGCTGTATTCAATTATAAAAATTATAAGTGCAACTCTTGTTTATTTATTTAAAATATTTTCCCCCTGCCTTTCTCCTTAAAGGACCCAATGCTACTTACATTATTAAAATGATAATATTTAAAAGCTAAAAGCAGTTAAGTCTACAAATATTTAAAAAGAATTAGACAAGTATTATAATAACAACTATTGTTATGTAAATAGCTGTATTCAATTATAAAAATTATAAGTGCAACTCTTGTTTATTTATTTAAAATATTTTCCCCCTGCCTTTCTCCTTAAAGGACCCAATGCTACTTACATTATTAAAATGATAATATTTAAAAGCTAAAAGCAGTTAAGTCTACAAATATTTAAAAAGAACTAGACAAGTATTATAATAACAATTGTAAATAAAGTCAATATTAAAAATATTTAAAGGCAACAGAGCACAACACTCCATTGAAAAAAACACTCTCTGACATCTAGTCACCAAGAGAAAGCCTGCCTGAAGAGAAAAGTCTCTGCCTGCTTGTGGAAGGACAGTAAAGATGAAGCCAGCCTGGCTTCCCATGAAAAGGAGTTCCAGAGGAAGATTAAGATTGTCATTGTCTTGCACAGTGGCGGCCGAGGCTGAAAGAGAGTGCCGCCTATGTATCCCCGG